GATCTGTGAAGGTTCTCAGTCATCCAGGTGCTCGTACTCTAAGGAGCCACCAAACCTACAAAATGTCTTTGGGGCAAGACTTCGTTCCCTCTCACCTACTCGAGGATGACAGTGTGGAAATAAGTGTGCAGTCAGTTATTAATACTCGTCTTCTACCTGGGTGTTGTTGGGTCTGTGTTTCCACAAGCCCCGCTGGTTTAGAGACTAATTCATCATGAAGAAAACGAGACAGATTTATTTGCAATGGAGGCCTCGTCGGTGTCTACCACAAAATGACCCCAACGACGGCCTCCGCTTGCTGCCTTTTATTGGGAATTGTGTGTGTGTGTGTGTGTGTGTGTAAGCTGGTGCCAGGAGTCCAGCGGTCCACCTAAACAAAAGGCTCTTATACTTAAACAGATACAGAGTAGGTGTCCTCCCATACTATTTAAAGAAGGTACGACCTCACTCATGACCTTAGGATGTGTGTGCATGCCAGAACACTCTGGAAGAGTCTTTGCAGACTACCAAGGATCAGACCTCTATCATTATACAATTGATACCTCTAAGCATATATGATTATATGATAGAGCCCTTTTTTATGGCCTCTATCAATCCTCATCGCCTCACTTCAGGCATTCTTCCTGTGGGGGGAATACTTAGGACTCCTCTATTGTCCTTTTTATCTCTGCAGAAAACCTTTCTCGGAAAGGGTATTGGATCCAGTTGTTTTACTGCTGTTATGATCCCACCTGTTGAATCACTTTAGCAGTCTTGTAGAAGTGGTCATGATGCAAATGACAACAACAATGACACAAAGGAAGACCCTCTTCAGATTGTCAAAGTATGCTTAGCACAGTGACACAGCATTAGGTGATGTTCATAGGAAATTGCCGTCGGTCATTCCCCATCACCACCCTAGCTTCTGGTTTCTGTGCTGCTCACAGAATCATGATGCCATCATTGAACTCGACTGTGCTGTCGATTGGAGCTTGGCACGCTCCCTTCACCCTCAGATGCCCGTCTGTAGTATTTTTTTCTCTCTTACTTTCTTTGATAAATGTACCTGTATATTGTTTATATGATCTAAATATATTAACAATGAACAATTTCTTTTTGTTCTCAGATCAAATAAAACAATTCCATCTCAAATACTTTTTTTCCACATAATGAAAGTATTTGTGTAGAAATTAAAACTCTTTGCAAGTAAATTATTGTTTTATCATATATCCTGCGTAATTTAAAATACGAAAATATTAAAACCATACTAAATATAGAAGAATGTATTAAAACTATCACAGTAAAGCTCCTGTTAAGTAAAGGTGGTATGAATAATTTGTTTTACAGAGACGAGTAAAACTTTGATTTTCAAGTCCTTTCACTCTAATTACCACTGGAGCAAAGGTAAGGTAGAAAATTTAAATGTAATGCAGGGCTGTAGAGTGCAACCAATTTGGTCGCAAGTGCGATTAAAAATAATCTCAGGTCGCAGCGGTACGACAAACTACTCGAGTAAAACAAATAAATAAAAAAACACTCTGCAACTCTGAAACTCTCCCTGTGGTCAACAACCGACACACATTATGCTCCTATCGTGGTCTAAACCAATCAGAGATAATCAGGGGTGGGACCTCTCTGATTGGTCGTAGTTCAGATATTCATGTAGTCCGTCTGTACGTTTGAAAGTACAGGCAGATAGAGAGAGGTGAGTAGCTTGAATAAAGCGACATTGATTCATTAAATCCTAAATCGAGTTTTAAACATAAATATATTTTCCCAGAAACGCCGGAATCTCAGGTTAAAGATCACAAAAGTATTTTATCAACCACCAAACAGTAAATGAGAGCAGGTAAACGGATTCCACACAAAGACACACAGCGTAAACACACAGAGGGACCCGACGCATCAGAATCAGCTTTCTCTGCTTTCTCACACGACGGCACGTAGACGGACACGCCATCGGGCTGAAAGCCGACAGCTCACTGATTCTGATGCGTCGGGTCCGCGCTGTTTACGTCTTTTTTGTGCTGATTCTGAGCTGCAGGTTTTGTCTCTCTCCAAGCAAAATTGACTGAACCAGCAGCAAAAGAAGCAACAAACTATTCACATCTGATAAACATCGTCATGAATTCCCTCTTACTTTACTGTTTTGTTTACACCAAGATAAAAATCACACTTCATGCACAGCTCTCTCTCTCTCTGTACTTCAAGAACAGTTTCCCGTCTCAAATCTCTGTTTTCTGCGTTATTCCTTCGCTTATTACCCACCAGTCTACCGTTGTTTACAGCGCTGTCAGCCTCTGTGTTTTTTTCTTTTTTTCTTTTACTTCAATGACCTCGGACAAGAAAGCCTATTTTCTGCTGTTCAATACTGAAGAAATGTAAACTTTTTAAAATTATGCAAAATTGCAAAATAGTTTTAAGATTATCTGCTATAAAAAGCCAGGCCAGGAATATCTCCTTCATGTTTCTGTTTTTTATTCTCAGTTACTTTGACACATGGACATTGTTAGGATTGATATTTTTTATATTGTCATTTGTGCTAAAATATATAGATATATAACCATTGCCTTTATGTGTCCTAATATGGCTATCATTATGAAGAAAAAGCCAGACAGTCAAAGGGGCTTTCTTTTGTTTACATTTACATCATGTACACTTATATAAGTTGGTTGGAGTTTTGAGCCATGGGTGGACATGACTCAAAAAGGGGGGAGAAGATCATAAACAACTTGATCCAATTTCCTTTAAAAAACTTTTTCTGCAGTGACAACAGGAAAGGAGAGGAGTTGTAAATGCGGATGATTCACCAGGTGACTCGATCACCCCACAGGGTGTCTACAGTGAGAAGATTTGGGGGTTTGAAAGGGGTCATAAAGAGGAGTGTTGACCAGGCTACAGCTTTGAAGATAGCTGGAAGCCACATGGACAAACCAAAAACCAACAGATGTGTTTGAATGCCTATGTCTGCAAACATTTGGATTGTAGTGCATATTCTTTTGAGAACGTTGATTCTTGTTTTTGACTGTTGACATTCATTTGTTTCCTTGCAGGATGTAGTTTACTGTGTGTGAGATGAATGAGAAGTAGGATAATTGCTAAGCACGTTTCGTACATGTATGAACTGTGAACTTTTGCAGCAGTAGGAAGTGAATGATGTGAGGAGCTGTGTGTGAATGAAGCCTATACTGAACTGTCAAACACAAGGGTGCATAAGTGGAAATTTAAGTACAAAGTTGACAAAAAGGGGGGACTGTTGGAGTCAAATTGTTAAATGTTGTCATTGTGTTACTTAAATGTGTAAGACTTAGTTCAAGCAGCATGGTCAAAGACATTCCTTTGTCTCTGACCACCTCTCCAGCCTGTTTGTTGGTGGGGGAGGCTGTAGTGTTTCATTATAGGGACATCCTATGTGAGGGTTCTGTTTTCTTGGTTAGTAAGCTTCCTGCTTTTATGACCCTTTTGATAAGCAGGAGGTCACACAAACGCACCACCAAACAAACATACACACTCACATACTCGCACAAACACACACACACACACACACACACACACACACACACACACACACACACACACACACACACACACACACACACACGCAGTGTTTTAACCTTTTGTGACCATAGGGGGGTTTTACAACGAGTGGTGTTTGTGTTCTCAGAATAAAAAGCTGCAAGGAAGGCTGTTTACTTGATGCTGGCTAGCAGACAGGTGAGGAGCGTTTAGCTCCAAGAGCCTGGTTCCAACCAGCCTCCCTTGCTAGCAAGTAAAATTGCTGTTCATCTTGTTTCCTTGTCGTTAACGGGAATAAGTTTCTAAACCAGCGGGGCCTGTGGAAGCGCAGAGCAGCGATCGCGGCGAAGCTGCTCCTCCGGCACGGCGGCGGGATTCCTCCAGATCGCTCGCTAACACTGTGGAGCATCAGCAGTGAGTCACGGATGTTAAAAAGCGTCTGTCGCTCATACACCAACAGGGAGTGGGTTTTCCAAGCTAGCAGGGACACCACTAAGAACACAACAAACAAACATTGCAGAACCGAGAGAAAGACGGCGTGCCATAACACCCGGTGCCATCTCTGCATTCTTATGGCCAAAGAGTGCCAAAGCACTTTAAGCACAAGAACAAGATTGTTAGTTAATCATTTACAAATCAATATTGTCTGTATGGACAGCAATTTCCCCCCAAAAAAGGGCACATGTAAAACCGCGGTGTTAAGCGATGCGGTTGAAAAAGTGGCGCACCAGTGCAACCAAGGCAAAAAGTTATTCTAGAGCCCTGTAATGTTAAAGATAATTAGAACATGAAGCCAATGCTTAGCTTAACTGAAAACAATTCTGGGATTTGTTTTTTGAACTTTAGCATCACAGTTGAACAAATGAAAGACCAGGAGAATAACAAAGTGAAAGATGAAACATCGACCAAATCATTTTAACAATGTTCAAGTTTGAAAATATACAGCTTAATAAAAACAGGATGACTTTATTTGCACAACAATGTGAGTTGATAAGAAGGTTCGTTTTTGGTATAGAGGAGTTTATTTGTTTTGGATGTGAGCAATGCCAAAACAAGAAAACAGGTCCTTATGTTCCCCAATCTTCCCAAACAGAAAAGTAAAAGTAAACCAAAGACGAGTTTCTAAGCAATGCTCTTAACCAGGAAACAAGTGTTTCAACAAAAATGGCCTTTCACTCCTTAACTGCTGCAAGGTTTACATTTTACTGTTTGACTATTTACACTGCACAACTTTACTCTCACAAATTAAACCCTTTTTGGGTAAAAAAAAAGATGGAGGACCTGTACTAGTGTGTGTGTGTGTGTGTGTGTGTGTGTGTGTGTGTGTGTGTGTGTGTGTGTGTGTGTGTGTGTGTGTGTGTGTGTGTGTGTGTCCTCAGTGAACTGTATCAGTCTCTGCAGTATCTTCCAGCTGCAGCAGTCACTTCACTTTCTGTTCAGTCTGACTGAGGGAGGTTTTTGTACGACTGTTTTTCACTGTGTGAACACACGCTGACTGTTGATGCTGTGATAACTCTGACAGTAATAAACTGCTGCATCTTCAGCCTGGACTCCACTGATGGTCAGAGTGAAGTCAGAGTTTGATCCACTGCCTGTAAAACGATCTGGAATCCCTGATTGTCGACTGCTAGTGTAGTAAATAAGACGTTTGGGAGTTTCTCCATCTTTCTGTTGGTACCAGGCTAAACAGTGAGCGCTGCCAGAAACATAAACATTCTGACTGGTCGTACACTTGATGCTCACAGTTCCTCCCACAGCAGAGCTCACTGCTCCAGGCTGAGTCACTGTGATCTGTCCTCTGGACTCTGAGGACACAGAGACAAAAACATAAAGCAGCTTCATGGTTTTGTGGGCTTCATTTCAGAGGGACAGATGTTGATAGAGGAGAGGAGTTTGATTCTCTGGACTTTACCTGTGAAGCAGCAGCAGAGGAGAGTCCAGATGAGGACGCAGATCAAAGTCATGTTTTTGATGAGGAGGATTTCTGTGGCTTCTGTTGTGATGAAGGACAGCTGTCAGTCATCCAGTGTTCAACTCTCAGGACTATAAACTCTCCCAGAGCACTGGAGCATGGTGCTGCTGATGCAAAGTGCCTCTCTATGGAAATCATCTGACTGACTCCAGCACGACTCATTTAAAAAGAGTTTTTCACAGCATATTTGGAATGTGACTCAACTGAACACTGTAGATTCATAGACAGGTAACAGATAAAGAAAAACTCGACCCCTACAATGAAGTGATGTGAAAGCTGTGTAAATTTGAGCAGATCAGAATCAGAATCAGAATCAGAAAGGGGTTTATTGCCAAATGTTGAGCAGGTTTACAACATCAGGAAATTGCTGCGGTGCTTCAGTGCAAACATACTGTCATAAATTGCGCTTAAATAGACATGAAAAAAATAAAAGTAAGAATAAGAATTATGAGTGCTACGTAGAAAGATATATACATGAGTGCAGGTGGTGATCAGTGCAAACATGGAATGATGCAGTGAACACAGCGTAGGGTCATGTGTTAGTGGTGGGAACAGTCATACGTTTATTGTTCATGTGTCCAACAGCAGAGGGGAAGAAACTGTTCTTATGGCGAGAGGTTCTGGTGCGAATGGACCGGAGCCTCCTGCCTGAGGGGAGCAGGTCAAACAGACTGTGTCCAGGGTGAGAAGGGTCAGCTGAGATCCGAGCTGCACGCCCCAGTGTCCTGGAGGTGTACAGGTCCTGCAGAGATGGGAGTCTGCAGCCAATCACCTTCTCAGCAGAGCGCACAACACGCTGCAGTCTCTGTTTGTCCCTGATAGTGGCTCCAGCGTACCACACGGTGATGGAGGAGGTGAGGATGGACTCGATGATTGCAGTGTAGAACTGCATCATCGTCCGTGTTGGCAGGTTGAATTTCTTCAGCTGCCTCAGGAAGTACATCCTCTGCTGGGCTTTCTTGATGACGGAGGTGATGGTGGGCTCCCACTTCAGGTCCTGGGTGATGGTGGTACCCAGGAAGCGGAATGAGTCCACAGAGGTGATGGGGGTGTCAGTCAGGATGATGGGGGGAGTGGGGCTGTGTGCTTCCTGAAGTCCACAATAATCTCCACTGTCTTCTGGGCATTCAGCACCAGGTTGTTGTGGCTGCACCAGGACACCAGACGTTCAACCTCCCTCCTGTAGGCAGACTCATGTGTTAGAGCTCACGTTTATCCTCCAGTATCATCACCATCATTGACACCGAATGTGGGGACATAATCAAAATCGTAATTATAAAACTTTTAAATAAAAAAACTGGAGAATCCGTACCAAAGAGCACTGAAGCTTTTATATTCGGTGTTAACTCAACAATGTAAACAAACACTTTTTCAGTTTTCGCTCCTTTGTTGTGACATATCTCACTTTGTCACTGCAGAATATTGTCATGGAAATATAATCAACAAAGTCTGCAGACACGATGAGCCAACACCTTTTTAATTCCCAAGCAGTTGAGGGAGAGACGACATTCAGTGGGGCACTGATGCGTGTGTCTAAAGATGAATAGCAGCCCTCTTTAAATACAGTCAAACAGAAGGCATTTCCACAGCTGTTGTCACACCCTTGACCCCTCCAAGAGAGGGAGAGAGTTTACAACTTTATCTCCTCTTCCAGTGTCACATAGAGACTGCTCCTTGCCTCTTCCCCACATCCTCAAAGACCTGATTAACAAAAGACTTCACCACCTGTTGAATTCTCCCCCTCTGGGTGTCACCAACTTTCTCACGATGCCTGACTTTGTGCAATAGAGTAAAAGCTGAATGCTTCCCCACATGTGAACCTTGAAGTGACCCAAAAGTGATATTACTAAAACATGTGACAAATTCATAAAATAAAAGATATTTCCAGCACATTCCCACTCTTTGGATTACTCTGCTAATCACATCAATTCAGATTACAATTACTTTGTTGAAATAAATGGATTACACGTCTTCTCCTGTTTCATATGTTAGGCTGTGCACTCTCTATGGTAATTCCACGCTGATTGAAACCCAAAGAAAACATTAAGAGGCTCTAATGTCTGTGTCTCAATCTTGCAGCCCATGTCATCTCTACTTGCTGCCAGCATTATGACGTGAAGAAATATTTAAAAATATTTCAAAATTATTATTCAAAAAATGATTTAATATGAAGGCAACAGGCAGAGTGTTACAGGCATCGCCCTAAAGAATGCAGCCTCATGGGCAGTGTAGTCCGTGCTGCAGGGAGAATGGACTGCTGTACCTGTTATGTGTCTGTGAGCGCGAAGAGGGAGAAAAAGTACGAGCTGTCATCGAGCAGAAACGGGAGCTGGAAGCATGTAAATATAATAATAACCACAGCAGCCAAACAGAGAGCCTGACGAGCCCAGTTGTAAGTAAGCTGTTAAGACTCGACTGGACACTGTGTTCGTGTTTTCCTCCGAAACAATAAGTTCTGCTGGAGCAGCCTTTCAACCCCTCTCTCTGTCTCTTACAAACTTGACCCAGACAACAAAGTAAAGCTAGTTTTCAGCTACGAGCCGACACGAACCCGACGGATTAGCCAGAGGTCCCTTTACTACGGTTCAGAGCTGCGGACCTGTTTTATATATGCGTTTGCAGATCACTGCAAAAAGTGCAGCCTTACCTAATGTCCACCTACTGTTACTCATTTATATTAAGATGTAAAAATCGAGTTGTTATTGGTACGGCAAGTAGCCTTCAGTAACAGTAATAAATCAAACAGCAATAGTGCATTCATGTAGTTGTAAAAAGCATGATCATATATTAAGTAATCCAAAGTATTCAGAATACGTTACAAAATACATTTTGGGGCATGTAATCTGTAATCTGTAGTGGAATACATTTTAAAAGTAACCTTCCCAACACTGCAGACACTACATCACCAAACAGAAAGTGACCTGTTCAGGGCATGAAACCGAAGTCTTTCCAGCCTCACAGGTTGTCCTGTTATAAAAATATCAAATTAAAACAGAGATGAATGATTCTGCGCTGTGGTCATGTTTAACTTTTGCATCCTGTGGTCAGCATCATGCATCAATGTGAATCACTGCAAGTTTTTTTGTACTGAGTTTTACAAAACTCTAAAATAGGTTTTGCAAATTGTACCTTTCCTCTGATTTTTTTTAATGTCTTTCATTTTTGACGCCATGTTCAAATGTGCAGGTTCTTTTTTGGGGGAAATCTTTTCTATTCTGTCCTGTTGCTTACATGTAAGCGGTTCTTTGATTTGCTGACAGGTAAGTTTCTAAAACTTCTTTCAGGGTGAAGATTCTCTGAAACTCTGTTCATGTGTTTGAGTAGACAAGTACAACATTTCTTTTCTTCTTTTTTTTTAAGTGAACAAGAGGAAATCAGATTTTGTCTTACAAGGACGAATGTCTGAGCCTTTATCTTCAGACATTGTTTGCATGTTTTGTTGGCATTTGGCAACACTTGGGGTTATATCACAAAGTACTGCTCTGGTTTGATCATGAAACATTTTCTTGCCTCTCTCAGTCAATGAACATGTTTTTGTAAAAGATTGCAGAAAATACCCAAATTTAAAAATCCCACACATCCATCAATGTCTGGATGTGTCCTAAAACACAAGAAAGAAAACATTTTCATAAACTGACTGATTAACTGATAAACAGCATCGACTATTTGATCCAACTACTTGTTGTTTTCAGTCAGATGATTTCCATAGAGAGGCACTTTGCATCAGCAGCACCATGCTCCAGTGCTCTGGGAGAGTTTATAGTCCTGAGAGTTGAACACTGGATGACTGACAGCTGTCCTTCATCACAACAGAAGCCACAGAAATCCTCCTCATCAAAAACATGACTTTGATCTGCGTCCTCATCTGGACTCTCCTCTGCTGCTGCTTCACAGGTAAAGTCCAGAGAATCAAACTCCTCTCCTCTATCAACATCTGTCCCTCTGAAATGAAGCCCACAAAACCATGAAGCTGCTTTATGTTTTTGTCTCTGTGTCCTCAGAGTCCAGAGGACAGATCACAGTGACTCAGCCTGGAGCAGTGAGCTCTGCTGTGGGAGCAACTGTGAGCATCAAGTGTACGACCAGTCAGGATGTTCATGTTTATAGCAACTATCACTATTTAGCCTGGTACCAACAAGGTGATGGAGACGTTCCTAAACTGCTCATTTATCGTGCTAGCACTCGAGAATCAGGGATTCCAGCTCGTTTTACAGGCAGTGGATCAAACTTTGACTTCACTCTGACCATCAGTGGAGTCCAGGCTGAAGATGCAGCAGTTTATTACTGTCAGAGTTTTCACTATCCTAACAGTCAGTATGTGTTCACACAGTGAAAAACAGTCGTACAAAAACCTCCCTCAGTCAGACTGAACAGAAACTGAAGTGACTGCTGCAGCTGGAAGATACTGCAGAGACTGATACAGTTCACTGAGGACACACACACACACACACACACACACACACACTTATCTAAGACAAAGTGAGTCAATGTGTGATATGTAACATGTAATCCTAATGACTTTCTACCTCACCTACACCGCTTCTCTGAGATTTTAAGCACTTTCGGTCCCTAGTTAGAACATATAGTTATTAAAGTTACATAATTTTCTCAAAGATCAGTAAACTTTTTGGCTGACGAAAACAAAAAATGTGCATGCTTGCACTCTCTGTAATGTACAGATTTCTGTACACAGTTTGGGAACAGGAATCAGTCAACCCAACCACTCAGCAGGCACCTGTGAGGGACGAGAGAGAAACACCCACACATACATCCTCTGATGGGAAGAGTCTGTCACGGCGGGGTGCGCCGGTGTGAAGAATGAGGTAGACCCAGATGCAGACACAGTGGAGACAAAACGTAGTTTCAAAAATAAAGCGAGCCTTTATTGCAGAAGAAAAAACATAAAACTAGGGAAACTAAGGAGACGATGAACACTGTGTTAACAGAAGGCTGTGACACTCAGTGAAAGAACTACAACAAAACTATGAACAC